GGGGTGTTGCGATAACTGAAGAGAAATTGGTCTATGCGATGTTGTATGGACTTCTTGTCTCCTTTTCTTTCTTCGTCTAGTATCTGTTTAAACAAGTCCTTCTTGACGGTCTGAACGCAGCGTTCGGCGCTACCTTTTGAAGCTGGGTGATAGGGAGGAGATTTGTAATGACGAATTTCATTCCTGCTCAGGAATGTTCCGAAGTGCTGCGATGTGAATTGGGGCCTGTTGTCGGTCACGATCTCCTCTGTTAGTCCGTAGGCCGCAAAAACACCTCGCAATTTCTCTACCAGTCTTTTCACTTGTTGTTGTCATGACAAACACCTCAACCCACTTTGAATGAGCGTCCGTTAGGACCAAAAAGTAATGCTGGTCCCTTTGCGCAAAATTTAGATGAACTCGCTGCCACCTACGCGTTGGCCAGCCCCATGACATTAGTGGCACTCTAGCTGCCGCATTCTGTGACAACTGACAAGTGATGCACTCTTTCACCGTTTGCTCTATGTCTAGCGTTAAGCGAGGCCACCAGACATGACTCCTTGACAGCATTTTCATTCGAGTCATCCATGGGTGACCTTCGTGCAGCATTTCTAGAACCTTCTGTCGCAACGAAGCTGGTATAACCACGCGATTGCTCCATGTTACGCACTCTTGGTCTTTCGACAGTTCGTTACGGCCGAACGAAGTATGGTGAAAGATCGTCGTCCAACACATGCGCAGGTCACCTGTTCTGCGTAAAAAACAACACTTTGGACAGCAATCGATCTTTACGCGTTTCCGATCTGATTTCCTTTGCCGACAATGGAGCCTCGTCTAGCACCGAAAAGAAATAAACGCCCTCCGACTCCTCTTTGTCTCGGAGCGGTAGCCGTGAAAGGGCATCGGCATTTTGGATTTCGCTTGCCTTTCGGTAGACCCATCGGTAGTCATACGCTGCAAGGATTAAGGCCCACCGCTGTATCCGTGCTGCTGCCATTGTAGGGATTGGCTTGCCATGCCCGAAAATTCCAACCAGGGGTTGTTGATCTGAACAAACGGAAAATTTTCGACCAAACAAAAATTTGTGGAACTTCTTTAGACCGAAAATAACTGCAAGAGCCTCTTTCTCCAGGTGGGCGTTGCCCTGCTCTGCCTGACTTAGTGTCCTCAATGCGAATGCTATCGGTCTTTCGACCCCCGCGATTTCATGGAATAAAATCGCCCCTAGTCCATATGCCAAGGCGTCGCATACCATACCCAGCTCCTGATCTCGATTGTATTATGTTAGTACTCTGGGATACATAAGCCAATCCTTAGATCTCTTAAAAGTATCCGCCACCCTGTCCGTTCATTGCCACTTAACATTTTTGCCCAACAACTCATACAATGGTTTCAGCTCTGCTGACATGTTCGGAACAAATTTGGCATGAAAATTGAGCATTCCCAAATATGCTCGAAGCTCCTGTTTGTTCTTGGGTGTCGGCACGTCTTTGATAGCGCGCACCTTATCCTTGGATGGCTGAATGCCATTTTCGTCCAGCACGTGACCCAGATACGCCACCGATGTTTCGAAAAACTTGCACTTTTCTTCGCGCAATTTAATGCCTCGTTTCTTGAACCTTGTCAGCATGCTTTCCACCTTTTCCCAACACTCCTCAAAACTTTCCCCGGCAATCAACACATCATCCAGGTAGCAGGCGACTTTATCTAGGCCTCCTAGAACATCGTCCATGACTGCCTGGAATATCGAGGGTGCACTGGTTATCCCATACGGTAGGCGCGTAAACTTAAACAGCCCCATGTGCGTATTTATCGTGAGCAAAGACTGCGAGTCAGGGTGCAACTGCAGCTGCTGATACGCGGTTGAAAGGTCAAGCACAGTGAAATATTTGCACCCATGCAAGGCTGCAAACAATCTCTTCCATGACTGGCAGCGGATAATGATCGGTGCGCAAGCAGGGATTCACCGTCATTCTGTAGTCTCCGCAAATCCTGACCGTTTTGTCTCCTTTTGGAACCACCACCAGTGGCATGGCCCAGTCGCTTTTTAGGACGGGAACAATCACCCCTGCGTTCTGCCAGGCCCTCAACTGTTGGGAAACGGGATCTCGGAGTGCGAAGGGCACCGGTCGAGGTTTACAAAAGACCGGTGTTGTGCCATCCTTGAGCAACAAGCTTACTTGACAATCCGTTATCTGTCCGAGCTCTGGTTCAAACACTTCCGAGAACCTTTCAAGCAAGCTAGCTACTCGATCGATCCCCACCCCACTCACACTCAACCAACCCAATTTAAGAGATTCCAACCAGTCTTGCCTTAGCAACGCAGTCTCACTCTTTTGCAACGTACGGACCACGATCAGAGGCAGCGTCGCTGTCTGGTTGTTGTGCTCTACCGGCATCATCAGCTTGCCCAGAACCGCTAACGGCGTTCCCCCATAGGCTTTTAGCTTTATGCTACACGGCAAGAACGGTCGCCCGGCCCAGTGTCGCTGATAGAGAGTCTCGGGGACGATAGAAACAGACGCGCCCGTATCTATCGGCATCGGCACATTACGACCCCCGACCCGTACGTTTACAGTATAGTTTCGGACACTCTCGTCACACGAAAATACATTCTGTAGGAAAATATTGTCTTCACCACTACTGTCCTCCGCATAGTGCGCTGTGCTGGCGGACGATCGGCACGCTCTTACCAAGTGGCCTACTCGTTTACAGGCGCGGCAGCGGTATTTCCTGAACGGGCGGGCACCTTTCGTCCGTGTGGGAGGTGGCTCCGCAGCGGTAGCAAGCCCAACCGGTTGTTTCTTTCGTTGCTCTGGTTTTCATGTATGTAGTCTCCACGCGGCTGTCCCGACCTTGAACACGGAGCTTGTCGTTGTACGGTGTGGACACCCAGTTCTTGCCCCTCCGGCTGGAATTTCTTCGTCTCGAAACGGGCTAGTTCAATACTTCGGGCTAGTTCGCACGCCTCTGCAAATGTCAGTGTGGCTTTCTTCAGGAGCTCTGCTTGCGTTGTCTCGTCTTTCAGCCCGGCAACGAAACGGTCCCGCAAAGCTTCATCCAAAAATGCCCCGAAATTGCAGGAGGCAGCCAGACTCTTCCATTCCAACGCAAAGCCCGCCACCGGTTCTGTGTCCTGCTGAATCCGACGGTTGAATCGGAAACGTTCCGTTATGACCATGGGTTCCGGAGCATAATGCTTCTTGAGGGCTTGAATTAGTTGTGCATATTCTTTCTCCTCTGGCTTCGCGGGGGCTAGTAGCGTGCGATAAGTTAAGCGTGCAATATGTTTTCTTCCCAATAGCGGTAACCAGCACCGAAACTTTGAGGTCGTCGCTCACCTGGGTCGCCCGAAGGAAGTGCTCCAACCGCTCGATGTGCGATTCGAAATCCTCGTCTCCGTCCTCGAGGAAGGGTTCGAACTTGCCAGCCGCTGCCATGTTGAAGTCTTCCGCTCCCAAAAGTGCCTGCCGTCTGTCCGCAGTGCAGATTCACATGGGTCCTACCCTTGTCGCCACTATTATATCTTCGTCTAAACAGGGGCGAGACTGGCAGGCAGCACATGGTGGCTAAGTGCAACACATGTTTTTTCGGTCACACAACCAACTGTTTTACAACCAGGAAGGAAAAGGGGCAGTTGCTTATATACATGATTGAGGCACTATCACACCGAGCATTGACGTCACAAAGCCCAACAGTCCGAGTCCGGGTCACCGCTGATGGCGAAGCGCGTCTGCGTCAGCCCCCTATGCACAACCCTGATAACACATTTCTTCTAGCTTCATTAAGTCTACAAGAGAGAGCATAGAGAAATCATGTAGCAAAAGCTGTAGTACTCATGTGTGGGTATCCGAAGTGATTTAGTGCAGATTTTTTTCAAACTGTACAAGACAAAGAAGACACACACAGTAAGTAACATTCAACAAAAATTTTTGTTGAAAGTTAGTGCCTGTGTGTGTCCTTTTCGGCTTGTCCCATTAAAAAAAAAAATCTGTGCTAAATGACTTCAAATATGTCTTACCGACAAGGCGAAAAGTCAACCTTTGCTGAAGGTATCTATCTCACACTTGTGTCTTTCCTCCGCTACCCTCTTCCAAAACCGCTTGGCTCCTCCTCGCTGGGTCAGCTGAGTGTCCCTCCTCATCTAGCGTGGCATATGTCACCGCTGACGCCTTGTCGAGACGGCGTATATTTCCGGTTGGCGCGATTAGCCACTCAAACGACCCAGCTCGCCGCCAACTGGGTTGTGTGTGTCATCTGGGTGCACTGATCATTGACTAACCGCTGTTGCTGTCGTGGCGGCTCGTGCCCCTACGAATCGTGCCGGTATGGACCCTGTGTTGCGTTACGGGCCGCAGATGTCGATTTGCAAGCGGCAGTGCAAGCAAAAACAGCAAGGTGCGCGCAAACAGCTGTTTGCAGAGTGACCGGAAGTCGTCGGTCGTCATTCGGCCAATCGCAAGCATCGAAAGTGGTAACGTCGTCGAGTTTCACTGGTGATGTTACACATGTCAGTGGCGGGAATGGCGGGAATCGGAAAGGAGGAGCCGTTGTTTTTTTCAAAATTGTGGTGCGCCCGTTACCTGTAGCGCTGCGGCGTGTGGCATCGTTAATCCCAACGACATTCTGCACGCGATGCGCTTGTTTACTTGAAATGTTTGGGAAAATATCGGAGGGGGTTGGCAGCCCTTTAACATGAAGGTGGTGCATCATTCAAACTATATAAGTCATGATATTTCAAAGCATGGACTAACAATGGTGCCGGAATCAATTGTGAGCTAGACCAGGGGGCGGTTCAGATGCCAGTAATACACCTCCACCATTCACCTAAAAAAATAGTTTATTTGTGACGACATTTCAAAGCATGTCTAAGTCACCGAAGCCTTTTACCTTTAGTGCGTTGCTTATCGCACATACATGAGGCTCACACTCTGCATGCATGCTTGGAGAATCTGTGACTTTCAATGAGTTTCACTAAAATACTTTTCTTAATGTGGACCCTGCGTTTTTTTCATTTCTAGAACCACCTCCCTTGCCGCCACGTCGAAGCGTCTTCTTTGGTAAATGCAACGGGGCTGGTGATCTGTCATCTGTCCCACCAGCTCCTTCTTCCACATCAACTTGGACAAGTTCAGATTTTCTAAGTTTTATGCACCAACCAGGCAAAGAAGGAGATGCAAAAACCAGCATCAAGTCAATAGAAGCCCTTTTTCTTGAGGATGCGAGCTCTAGGAGCACCACACTTCGGCATCATTCGTTGACAACTAGTTCAGTTGTGTCCACACAATTTGCCTCTCAGCTATTCCCACTTGCAACTGCTGGTCAGCTGCCGGGCCGTGTTGGTTCACTTGTGGGCACAGAGATGACTCACAGTAACTCTGCACCAAACTTCAACAATCTGTCTTCCAGCTGTAACCCTTCACCTATCCACACAGCAAGTCAAGGCTCATCAGTGGTTTCACGGACAGAAATTGAAAGGAGTATGTTCAGTGTGCTTCGAAAGAAACAAGACAACAACCTCATTGACTTCGGTGTAGACGCAGAGCTGGCGAGAAAACGGGAAACACTTAGGAAAGCCGGGGACTCGCTGAATGATCTACTTGACCTGTTTGATCCTCTAAGAGAGAACGAACTTGATGAAATGGCAACTTTTGAAGATTCGCCACCAAGGGAGACTCCAAAAGGAAAAACGGAACTGGTTGAGGCACCACCCCAGATCCCTCCCAAACATGGAGGACCTGCACAATCACAGCCGCCATCACTGCCAGCAAGTAGAAGTTCAACTGTTGAAAAGCCCGTTTCCACACAGAGCTCTACAAGCAAAGGGCCAAGCGTGGAACTTGGCACTTTAAAGGTAGTCCGTCATGAAGTGTGTCAAGGGGAAGAAATCGAAGCATTCTGGGCTAAAGCTAAGCAGCTAAGATCAGAGTTTACATTTTATGATCATCATACCAATGCTGGTCTTGTCATAAGCCCAACATTGAAAAACAAGTGGGGAAAAAGCCTCAGCATAAAGTTGGAAATCACGAACAGCTTTTCGGAAAGGCCTTTCTGCTTTACATGTGATGTAGGAACCAGTGTGGAGCATGTAATTAGCAACACTGTGTGTTCCCTGAAGGATGATTTATCTGACAGTGCACTGGAAAGTTACGTACTGAAAGTCAAAGGGCTTGCGGAATACTTTACACGCGACTCTGCATTGAAAGACTATGAATATGTTCACCAATGCTGCAAATTTATGAAGCCAGTTTGCCTGACCCTTATTGAAATCCAAGACCTTAGTAAACCATGGATACGGACATCAAGAGATGACAGTGAATTTTATGAAGTCAAAGCATCAAGCCTGCTTCCTCAGCCATCAGGACAAGTTTCTTTTGATTCAGTGTCTATATTACTTGAAACCTTCCACAAAGAGGCTAAGAAGGTGCAGCTGGGAGCCTCTGCAGGTTGCTTGCAGCCAAATGGAGCTATTCAAGCCGTAAAGGCCATTTGTTCTACACTTTCAAGGATCGAAATATTGGAAATCCTGCATGCTGTGGAAGGGTTAAAGCACATTTGCAGTCAAATGCCCGAGGTGAACGGGTTTCATGACAGCTATCTCAAGGCAGAAGACTCGCCAAATCCAGCACCCACGAATTGTGACCGTGTTGCAGAAGTTGTATTCTATTCATTGCTGCAGCTGCAGTCTGCATTGCGTACACTTGTTGAAATCTACTGCCGCAGCTTTCGTGTTGACTTTTCGTTAACTATGGCGAATGAAAGCCAACCACAATGTGAAGTGCGGCCAGTCACAACATTTCATGACACCTTTCTTGTAAACATTGGCAGCGTACATCAGCTGAAACCACACTGGGTTTCAGACTATGAGCAGTTTATTATAACTTGTGAGCTTCGCTATGGCTTGCATATAATGTGTCAAGGGGAAACTCGCACTGTAAAAGCAAGTAGAAACTTTTTCGAACTTGTTGTTTTTGATGAGTGGATTGAGATGAGCGCGTTTATGAGGAATCTTCCCCGAGAGACTGCTATATACTTTGCACTGTTTGGTGTAAAGCCATCAGCTGAAAACAGGCCACCAGAGGCACCAGCATCTGAACGAGTGCTTTTGGCATGGACTGGGCAGGCACTGTTCAACAGTCGGCGTGAGCTGCTTCAAGGAAGTCTCTTTCTCGGTTTTTGGTCACCAGAAGTAGATGAAAACAGTGGTCCGCCACAAAGCAATGATGCATTTTCCTGTCCGGTGCTTCGTCTGCAGTTCCCAGAATTTGACTGTACTGTAGTGTTTCCAGAAGTGCCACAGGATATCATCACTACTTGCAAGGCAACCACATATGCTCTGGACAGTGTGGTGATCCAAGAGCTCACTGACGTACTTGAAAAAGACCCTCTCACTGTTCCGAGCCCTGAAGAGAAAAGATTATTCTGGGAGCACCGTCATTACATCCTTGAAGTTCCACATCTTCTTCCCAAGGTGCTTCTGTCTGCTCACAGCTGGAGTTGGCCTTTTCTGCCCGATTTGTACTTCCTTCTGACAGAATGGCGTCCTGCTTCTCCTATTAATGCACTAACCTTGTTGCTGCCACTGTTTCCCGACTACGAAGTACGGAAGACAGCAGTCAATTGCATCAAGAATATTGGCAGCGACGAACTCTGTGATCATCTACCACAACTAATCCAGGCATTGCGCTTTGAGACATGGGAAGATGCACCCATCACATGGTTCCTCTTAGAACGTTCTCTGACTAGTGTGCGCGTTGCCCATCAGATGTTCTGGCTGCTTAGGCAAAACCTTGACAATCCACTCACAGTCAAGCGTATGAAGCTTGTGATTCAAACACTCCTAGTCATTGTAGGCAAGTCTTTCAGAGATATTATAGAGAAGCAAGAAGAGCATCTAAATCAGCTTTGCATTATTGCCGAAAGCATAAAAGAGACACGTGAGTCTCTCCGCCTGGACAAGCTTTTGCAAGACATGGCACAGATTCACAGTATGATCGAGGACAGCCCTTCTTGCCTTCCACTAAACCCAGCGATGGAAGTTTGTGGTGTGGACGTCAAGTCTTGCTCTTACTTTACATCCAATACACTTCCTCTCAGGATTGCGTACAAGAGTTCAGAGCAAGGGGCCAAGCCCATTCATGTGATTTACAAGGTTGGAGATGATCTCAGGCAGGACATGTTGACACTTCAGATGATACGGATAATGGACAAGTTCTGGTTGAAGGAAGGCCTGGATCCTAAAAATTATAACCTTCAACTGTGTTGCTACTGGCAAGCGTAAGGGCATGGTGGAAATGGTCACTGAAGCAGAAACACTGAGGAGAATCCAAACAGAGCACGGGCTCACTGGTTCATTCAAAGACAGGCCTATCGCCGAGTGGTTGCAACGACACAACACGTCTGAACTGGAATACCAGCAAGCTGTGGAGAACTTCACACTGTCGTGTGCTGGCTACTGTGTAGCCACATACATCCTTGGAATCTGTGATCGCCACAATGACAATATCATGCTGAAAACATCTGGTCACATGTTTCACATTGATTTTGGAAAGTTTCTTGGCGACTCTCAAATGTTTGGCAACTTCAGGCGTGACAGAGCACCATTCGTCCTTACCTCAGACATGGTGTATGTTATTAATGGTGGTGAGAAGCCCTCTAAGAAATTCCAAATTTTCATTGACTTGTGCTGTGAAGCGTTTAATATAGTTCGCCGTAACAGCAACATTTTCATCACCCTCTTTGAGCTGATGGTCACATCCGGAGTCCCTGGTGTCACTGCAGAGGCTGTCAACTTTGTTCAGAAGTCCTTGTTACTTGGCAGCTCTGAAGGAGAAGCAACTGCACACTTCACCAGACTTATTGAAGAGAGCCTGCGTTCACGGTTTACACAGCTGAACTTCTTCATTCACAACATTGCACAGCTTCGGTTCACTGGGGACCACAACGACGGGCTGCTACTTTCGTTTGTTCCTCGAACTTTCACTAAGGATTCAGATGGCAGGATTGTGTCCCTTACTGTGGTTCGCTACCTGAAGTGCCACGAGCCAGAGAAGCATTACACTTATGTTGTTCGTGTTGGCAGAGAATGCCAGGCAGAGCCTATGCATGTTGTTAGAACCTATCCAGAATTCCTGGAGCTCTACCAAAAGCTAGTCCGAATGTTTCCATTGGCCAAGTTCTATCCCCTGCCCAAGGGATCACTGGTGGGTCGCAGCAACACACGCGAAGTGGCGCAGCGGAGGATGCAGGAGCTGGGCGTGTTCCTTACATCCCTCACCAAGATGGCAGAAGAGGTGTCCCACTGCAGCCTGGTGTACACTTTTTTCCACCCTCTTCTGCGTGACCAAGAAGGTATGGCTGAGGATGAAAATGAGTGCGATAACCTCCGTCAAATCAGCCAGAGGGTCAATCTGTCCAAGGGCATAGTTGGCCGAATAAAGCTCTCCATCGTTTACAAGGCGAATGCTCTGTCCATCATGGTAATGCATGCAGAGAACCTGGCGTGCATGCGAAAGTCCTTGCCAGACTGCTACATTAAGGCATACCTTCACCCGGACCCTGAAAAAGTAACCAAAAGGAAGACGAAAGTGGTGTTCAAAAACAACCACCCAACTTTCATGGAGATGCTAGAGTACAACTACCCACATGCATTTATCGCTGAACGGGTGTTGGAAGTGTCTGCGTGGGACCATGACAGAGTCCAAGAAAATGAATTTCTGGGAGCGGCCATTATAGATCTGTCACGTATGGACTTGACAAGGGAGAGCACACACTGGTACCACCTGAACGCCGTGAGATACAAGTTTCGTTGATGCATCAACATTTCGCTTGGTGTTCATCTGTCTTAAGTTTCCGTGTATTGTGTGCTTGTGTCTGTACAAATGTGGGATCAAAAACATAGAAAAGTGTTATGCTTAGGAGTGTGTTAATGAATGTGTTTTTAATGCCACGAAAGCACCACTGGACAAACTACGTGTCGCTTGCTTAAGTGGTGGTCAGGAACAGAGACTGAAGCATGCACTTCATTGTATAGCATAGGTAGTGAGACTTAATATAATCTCTGATATACGCCCATTTCTTTTTCATATGGAGTTTGTTGTGTTGTCTCACAATATCTCCTCTCATGAAGATTTTGTCAGCATGCTCTTTTCTGTAGAGCACCTTTTTCCTACCTCCTGGTTTAAGAGATTTATTTCAATGTTTCACAAGTCATTCGTGTTGTATCATGCAGTGTTGCTCACCTGTCTGCTGCTTAACTGATTGCATTCTCATTGTGCATGCTGTGCGTGCAGTGTTGTACTGCTAATATTCAGGGGGTGTATGTACTATATAGTCTATTTTTCTATGACTCTTATATACAACATTTACACACTTAGTCTTTTGAACCAGGTTTACATGTGCTATTAATGTACTAGCCATTTCTTGCACTAAAAGTGTCTCATTTCTTTGTTTGGTTTCACCTCTGATGACATTGTGTATTTTCTTTTGTTTTCTGTTCTGTAACACCCACTGATGTTGTAATTCACATTTACTATGCTATATATTTTAGTGCTTTCGTACCATGGCAACTTTTTTGGACCATATTTTTTCTCTTCTTTATCTAGTATTAAAGCTGTATCCCAAATAAGCTGTTTTTGGCTGTTAGTGCTTTCTACTTTCTATGTGTACAAAAAAATGTGGAGGCACGCTATATATTCTCTAACAGGCTGCAAGAAGTCTGAACAATGTGTGTGTTTCCTTTTTTTATGTAGCCACACACTAGGCGTTTTTATTGCTGCATGTCTATGCTGCTTCTATTATTAAGGGTTCATGTGTTCTGTAACAGTGTGCTTGGTAGCACAAGTTATGCCATTGCTTATTAGAGAGTGGAGTTGAAGCATCAGCATCTTGCATAATTGCAAAAGTGCACAAAAGCTAAACATTTTTATACATTTCCTAGATATTATGGTGAACGAGGTTGTCTACTTTAAGTTTACTGTTTTGCACATTAATGAAGGGTGGTGAATGTAGTTATTATGGCACCAACGAGTACACATTCACTGTGCACCAACAGCAGACTTGTTTTTGCTGTAATTTCATGGAACTGAGCTTTGCACTCATGGAATTTGCACATGTGCAAAGTGCGAGTATTTTGCACATGTGCAAAAGAATAAACCTTGTCACAATTGTGGGCTTGGTGTAGCATATGTGCTATTTTATCTCCTGCAGCTAAAATTACCAATTGTACTTGTTATGACTCAATGCGTTGAGTACACAAAGCTGTGAAGATTCATGTCAAGTCATGCCACCCAACTGTAAAGCTTTGCCGTCTTGGTTTATTTCTTAATTCAGAAAAATTGCTGTCTTCTGTCACTTTGTTTAGAAGAGTAGAAATTTTGTATGCTCAACAATTAGATATCTTCTTCGTGATATACAGATACAAAGTGCCTTCATGTGCTGTGCAGAGCAAAAATAATAATACTAAAGCCACGTACTTGTGTTACTCAGCATTGTGTTATGTACTTGAATCCGTGTTCCTATGTGAATAGGCAAATTATGTGAATAAATCCTTTTCTGCCACAGGTGCCCATTGCGTGATGATGTACTTTATGCCTCTTGGCATGTCTTCTTTTATTATTTATGGCTTTTGTTTGCACAAACTGGTTCATAAATTTTTCACCTTTAAATGCAGCTCTTGCCGCAGTGCAAATTTTTCTTACTTTTCTGTGTCGTTTCGCTAAAAAACGCAATCAAGGCATAGCAATTTCAGCGTAGCTTGACAAGTTTATAATTTGGATGATGTTAATCCCACCATACATTAAAATCTTTTTTCTGTATGTTGTCCAGAATGTAGCTTATAGTTTATGTTTTTACCTTTATAAGTAACAGGCATGTATCCTTGTTTCAAAACAACGGCCCATCGCCTGATAGCCTTTTTACTGTTTTGTGTTTTTTGTGGCATACTGCATCTAAATAGAATGTGAAAGCCATCGCAGCAGGTTCTGTAGACACACAAGGGTGGTTTGAACCCAAAAGGAGGAACATGTGAACACTCTTCTCTGGCTAGTTCTCCTAACTATAAACAAATGGTACTTGTGACGAGCACATAAGAAAGACGTTCTGGACACAACTTCCCTGTGCCAAGCCATTTGTTGCTTAGGCCTCATCGCATGGCATGCCCGGCAATGCAGTTGTTTCATGGCATGCTTTATGTCAGCAGAGGTGGAATGTGAAAACTACATAGCCTTACAGGCATGTTAAACAAGACTGCACAGTCGGAATGAATCTGGGCCTTCAGCACGTCCGTCGCCTTATGTGAAGTTGGTCATGCTAAACTTGAGCCTCACTTTTTTTAAAAAGCTGCATGGGTACACACTTACTTAAGGCTGCTTTAGCTAGTGTTAGTTATCACTGAGCTTCTAATCGGCTCGCAGCCCTTTGTATTTACAGTGAAGTCAGCTTTATTGTAGGTAATGCACTCCCAATTTTCTTTGTGTTTGCTCCTCTGTACCATAACTGCTGAATGAAGTGCGAGATCGCAATAAGCAGGCATTGATTTCTCTTATACTGGCTTCTCTGGTCTTGCTACTAGCACTTTCACTGATATGCTCATAAGTATCACAAAAGTGCGCTTGCTAGACAGCTTGCTCATCACTCATTGGTATATGTATGGTCTGCGAGTATTTCTTCACGAACCATTATAAAGAGGAGTGGCAAATATAACATAACATATTGTCGTAAAAATTAGTTTAAAACCACTACACGTGAATGGTTTCAGCTCTTAATACGGCTGGATATGTCTATCACATTTATATTTTCTCGTGTGGTCACATACAAACGTGTAATGACGACAAAGAAAAAACATACCTTGTGGCATCCAAACCAATGGTGTTCATTTTTTTTAAGATGTGCAAATAACAGTTGCATGTGGTCATTTGCTGCTGTGATCGGGAGTACGTAGCAATCTTGAAAGATGGATTGCTTGTCTCAAGCCATCCTGACGAGTCGTAATAAAGCTCGGAATGATGGATATGTAATATTTGCATGTCTCGTGAGTAGAGGGAGCTCCAAGCAACGTACTTGGGGTCTCATGATCAAACATCATAATGGAATCGATATAGAAACAAAAGCCCAGCCTCTCTTGATACTGCGTTTCGTGCTCGATTTGTAGTGACTATGCTTGAATCTAGAGGACCAGGGGTGCATGCTGACGGAAAACGGCTGGCTTGTGCAATGCGTAGATGTCTCTGTGTCAATATGGTGACGTGGTCGTGAAGTTCACGAAAGCAGCAGGCTGTATGTTCTAGATGAAACTGTTTATTTGTCTGAACTTGTGACCGTCTTGATCTTGACAGAATGATCTACAATAATCGTGAACCTTGTCGAACAATGAGGCGCAGTTCGCGCTGAGCATTCCTGACAGGCTTTCTGGGCGAAAACCGAATGAAACATTAGTTAAAATAAGAAAAATGGCAGCATATCTACGGAGTGAATTATAAAGAGTGGGGCGAAGCATTCGTCCGTCCATTCGTTCTTGCTTCCTGTCCGTCCATGCGTCCGTCTGTGTCACCGTCCGTGCGTCCATCCGCTCGTCCATGCATCTGTTCATGCGTCCATCCAAGCATCTGTATGTGTGTCCTTTCGTCCATCTATTCAACGCTCCAAGTACCACCATCTCGCCCCGCCGCGGTAGTCTAGTGGCTAAGGTACTCGGCTGCTGACCCGCAGGTCGCGGGTTCGAATCCCGGCGGCGGCGGCTGCATTTCCGATGGAGGCGGAAATGTTGTAGGCCCGTGTACTCAGATTTGGGTGCACGCTAAAGAACCCCAGGTGATCAAAATTTCGGGAGCCCTCCACTACGGCGTCTCTCATAATCATATGGTAGTTTTGGGACGTTCAACCCCACATATCAATCATCAACCACCATCTCGCATCGTTTCATCATATATTCCCCATATAGAAGCACCGCCATCCAGCGGACATTCTAAGGACTAAACGAGAGGTGGCGCACGCACACTTTCTTAGGGCTTGAGCTTCGGGTCTACTTACACAACTCAGCTCCATATCAGTCTTCCCTCGGGACCGATCCGTGAGGCCAAGGAGATCCGCGTCCTTGGCCTCTTCATACACCACCAACGCAAGGCCGACACCACAATAGCCAAACTTCGCACGGTGGGAGACCAGGTGGGCCGTATGGTCCGCCGGGTCTCCAACAAGCGGGGCGGATTACGAAGCAGGGATGCAATGCGGCTTGCCCATGCTTTCGTAACGAGTAGAATACTCTACTCGACTCCCTACTTGCACCTACGCAAACACGAGGATGATCAACTCGAGGTCATCCACCGTAAAGTTATCAAGCGGGCTCTCGACCTCCCTATCACCACGTCCATCCAACCAGAGACTTCTGGCCCTAGGCGTGGTGAATACCTACCGGGAACTTCGAGAAGCCCACCTCGTTAACCAATACACGCGCCTTGCACAGACCCATTCCGGTCGCCGCCTCTTGGACCGAATACACATCAAACACGATTACTATATTGAGGAAAGGGTGAGAGTGCCAGAACCTTGGAGACGCGCCCTCCGGGTCCGACCCCTTCCCCGCAACATGTCCAAAGAAAACCACAGTGGTCGCCGCCAGGCGCGCGCGGAAGCGTTGCAGCGACACTTTGGTCAAGAGGAACACCTGTGCTACGTGGACGTTGCCGGCCCGCACCATGGGGGGTGGTATACTGCCGCAGTCAAACACAACGCAAACACCGTAAACGGGCTCACTTTCAAAGCCTACAGCGCAACACACGCGGAGGAGGTTGCCATCGCTCTGGCTCTCACCTATCCCTTTTCTAAACATATCATCACGGACTCACGAGGGGCCTGTCGGAACTATCAGCTAGGGTGGGCTTCACCGCTTGCTCAGCGCATACTGGAACCTAGCTGCCGATACGTTAATCCAACTCCGCGAAATCTGGTTTGGGCACCCGGTCACCAAGGACTCAGGGGTAACGAACAGGCCGATCAGGCCGCCCGCGCACTCTCTTCCCGGGCTATCTCCCTGTCTTTGGAAGCCTACTCGCAATCAGACAATTCGGCCCTTTCATTCAAAGATATTACCAATTACTACAAGGAGGAGCACCGGCGCTATCCAGACCCTTGTAAGGGACTGCATCGCGCTGACGAGCGCCTCCTTTTAAAACTGTTTACCAATACCGTACTGTGCCCGGCGGTGCTAAAACATTTCAATTCATCCTTTGATGGCACGTGCCAGTTCTGTGGTGAGGTGGCTGACACCTTTCACATCGTCTGGGCGTGCCAGTCTAATCCATCTATCCCCCCCAACCCCAATCCCACGAGAGAGGACTGGGAGGCGGCCCTGCTCGGCTGTCAAGACCTGAAGGCCCAAGAGGCTCTGGTTCAACGTGCGCGGGCGGCGTTGCTTGCCAATGGAGCCCCGGAATAGGGGTTCCACCTAGTGCTGTGAGGGTAGGAGGCCAATAAGGCCCCAACCCAATCACCTCTCTGTAACCATTTAATGGTTATTAAATGTTTTCACCACCACCACCACCGGGTCTACTTCCCACCTTTAACCACCTCGAGTTCATGGTATATACTAGTGCACTGTATTCACGGCACTGCGGCCCAACGCTCTCTAACCCATTCTAAAACCAAGGAGGTTACGCCAAGCGAGTATAACGTAGCAACCTTTTCCTGTCAGATAGTGCTCAATGTACATGCCAGTGGCTGCTAATGGGAAATGAGAGACAGGAGAATTCGGCTTTTACTTTCTTACGGCTTGCGCTTCGTATCTACTTCATACCTTTAACCACCTCGAGTTCATGGTATATACTAGTTCATAGTATTCATGGCACTGCGGCTCAACGCTCGCTAGAGAGAGAGAAAGGAAAGGCCGGGAGGTTAACTGCATCTGGTTTGCTACCCAGCGCTGGGTGCGGGGAAGTAGGGGCAAGAAAGAGGGGTTAGATAGAGAGGAAAAAAAAAACGCACAAGCACTCATAAAAAAAACGAAAACACACACAGGAAGGGGGTCCTAGCTACAACCGTTCAGTAAGGCCGGTCAATCGCAAAAAGTGTAGTAGCGCTTTCAGGGCCCTCTTCTGTGAAGTCGCATCCTGACGATACTGCAGAATTTCCTGCTCCGACAGAGGTTGATCATCTAATTTGTTGAGTTCCTTGCGAAGGCATAGTTGTTGTTTACTATACGCTAGGCAGTCACAAAGAATATGTTGAATTGTTTCCTCTTTGCCACAGTGGCCACAGGCTGCGGTGTCGGCCATCCCAATGCGGAAAGCGTAGGCGTTGTTAAACGCAACGCCCAACCACAGCCTACATAACAGGGTCTGGTCTGCTCGGCAAAGCCTCGACGGGACTTGAAGACTTAGCGTAGGGTCAAGCGAGTACAGTCGGGCAAGCTTGAAGTGTGGCTGATTCCATTGCGATGTGGTTTGCTGGCGAGCAAGTCTGCGGAGCTTTCGTGCAGCATCTGTCCTAGAAAGTGGTAGTCGCAGTTTATGATCTTCTGTGTGGGCTGAGCGGGCAGCTTGATCGGCCCGTTCATTGCCGATGATTCCGCA